ATCTTCTTCAGTGAAGATGGCATTGTTGTATGTCCAGAGRGCAGGTCCYTGGCACTCCTTCATACCTTCATCAATCAAATTYGTCATGGCATTGTCATTTGTTCGTTCGTCGTAAAGAAATCGTACTTCTGTAGCTCCAGCATCATCAGCGTTTTGTATAAGCTCTTTAGGAACGGACAAGCCATCAGTGTATCCTTCAAGTAATCCTTTAAGGCGGTCAAGCAAARATTCGGACTGTCCAAAACTTTCACCCATTTCAAGCTCATCTGCATCGAGTATTCGACTCATCAAAGTAGGYACCTTYAAGATTTCTGCTGTYGCATTGGAAATATTGCRATGAACAAACTTGATTTTCTCATCATCCGTTTCATCAATGTCAGAAACGTCGTACCCTTTCTGCAGCCATTCCCGATCACAGTAAGTGCAGTCTTCTATCAAAGCCAACTCCAGCCTCGTATCGTCCTTCACATCTAATGGGACGAGAAGYCTTTCTTTGACTTTTAAATCGAGKGGTTGTCCATCTTTGGGCTTCAAGGCATCGAGTACTTCAATACAGTAACGGAGGTCGCGTCTGACTTCATGTTTTGGCTTGGAAKTGCAAATTAAATGGCTTTCTTTTATCCTCTGTAAAACCTCTAGAAATAGATAGCTATCAGGCTCTTGCTTCATTCCACATTSATTGAAAAATGATGCAAATTCTTTAACCTCCCTTGGCAAAGGGTAGAGATATGGTTGCAGATCCATCCACGTATTATTTTCAACAATTTCATCTGCAGAGGAGAAGCTGTTACCATTCCATATCCATTGATGGATTCGCTCTTTCACACCACAAATGTTTTGCGCTTCAAGATATCGATAAATGTCTTTGATGACGTCGACATAGGTGCTTTTCTCGTTTTCGTGATAAGATGAGATGACATTTTCAAAATGAATGATGAYGTCTTCTTTGGATGGCGTTCTTTTCCAACCAAAAAGTCCAGAAACGTTAGGTTGATTTTGGTCGTCTACAAGTGGTTTGGAACTACCCACGAGAAATTTATGTTGGATAGATAAAACATCTCTGGGGCACGCAAAGCATCCATGCTCATCCAGCTTTAAATTAGAGGGATAGTGTTCTGGCCTCATTTTTACGACAGGTATCCATGGAATCGTATGAAGTTGGTCAAAGAGACAATTTCTCGTGTCCACCGAAGTAAGCATTCTTTTCTCCAGGTAATTAAGGATAGAGGTGGATTTTGTTGTGGCTGTTTTTACATYACTAATTTGATTCACTAATGTAGCGCTGCTAATAATTTCGGAAGGGCTTACACCTTCAATTCCCTTGAGACCCATATTTCTCAAATGACGAAGAACACTGGGACTCGAGTACTGAGAATCTGTATTCGGGAATTTTTCAGTCTCGSATAAAAATATCCCGGCAACGACGCTGTCTTGTGGATCATAAAGCTCCTCCGGTCGCTTTCTTGTGTTATTGGAAGACGTAACAAATGGAATACTGGCTAGTAGATTTTGTAATTCYTTGGTAGCTTCCTCGCCGAAAACGCTAAAACGATCCAAAGTATATTTGACCAGATCATCAACTTCATTATTGGAATACTTTCCTTTCCTTGCATCTTCAAGCATCATCTTCACCAGAACTACAAGGTCCATTGGTACAATTCCAAGCATTTGTGCAAGCGTTCTGCTACTGTTATCACGGACATCGATCATCTCAAAGCACCATTTTACAGGAGGCAAATCATTCAATGGCGCAGCTCGTGGAACGTCAATCAGTGTGACTGGACGTGATGGAACGTCGAGCGCTGGATGACAASACGTTTCAAATAACTTTAGCTTCTTCAGAAAATTGACTTCTGCATCAGAATCTGTAGGCAAATTCATTTGAGAAAATAGCCCTCTCAAAGGCCTYACATCCAACGATATAGATGGAAGATTATTTTGAAAAACCATGAGTGCTGTTAGAACACCTTGATGATTTGGTGGGTTGATGTAGTCAGGTACAAGACCACGATGTCCAATTACAAACTCGGGTAAGTTCTTCAGGACAGTTGCTCCGACCTCGCTCGCCTTCTCCACAACCGAATTTTCAAGCTCATCACGGTTGAAGGATGACAAAAGCAATGTGGAAGGCTTTTTGATTCGTGCAAGTTCCACGCTGTTCGATATGGCTTGTATGGGTATCAATGGAACATTACAAAAAGCGTCCAGGTCATTAGGGCCATTAAAATGCTTAGCTAAGTATTGCCACACTTCCTTGAGCCATGTTTCTGGTGGATGTTGATGCTTTCCTGGGTACCATATGACGTTCCCGTTCGACTCCATCCAGTCATCTGGCAATGATTTATGGAGAAACTGCTTCATTACATTTTCATCAAAACGACAAAGCTGAATCCAGCCTAAAGATAAAATGGAAATTCATAATTATGACATGAACATATAGCCTTTTAGCAATATCTTTTGACTCTGCTAGCGTCAAAATCATGAAATATACTCTTTTATCATATAATTATCTATGAAATACCTATATTTCTCCATTTCGTAAAACTGATATTTTCATTAGTTAAAATAACATGTTATTAAAATAACACATTCGAGTTTTCTCTATATAATGCAAGTAAGAAAAAAAGTATTTTACGACATAATTTACTTTCATAATTTACTTTCGCTACGCTCACTCGTGAGAGATCTTTTCAACACTCGAAGATAAAATCCGTATCTCCGCGCGCCCATGTAATATCCTCTATTTATCATATA